ACAGGAACTCGAGAATACAACTTTGACGCCGGGGAGTTTATTCCTCAGAGCATCAAGAACGTAGCGGACTGAATCAACATTGACTTTAAGACCGAGATCGAGATTCGCTTCTGATCCGCCGGACATGAGCCCGTGGAAGAGATAGACTGCTTCAAAGGGCTGAGATGTTACGAGTTGCTCGACGACAGAGGGGTTGGTGAGATCTGCGGCGAGAGAAGTTATGCGTTGGGCGTGTTGAGCTGGGACGGGAGGTTCAGAGATGTCGGTTATTGTCAGATGGATTGAGGGTGAGGAGTTGAGAAGAGGAGCTATGATTTCTTGGCCGATGAAGCCGCCGGCGCCTGTGATGAGGATATGCTGTGTATTGGGCATTTTGGTGCTTGGTATAGGTAGGCTAGTGATTGTGTTAGTGAAGTGTGAGAGTGAGTTGTTGTGTTTAAATGATTGTTTGCTCGGATAAGATTGATCCACTATCGCGGGGTGGATGAGGTTATCCGTGTCCCCCGCAGAAGATGATGCGGAGTCGACGGAACGAAATCCGAGATGGACAAACTGTGGAGGGGATCATCATGTACATTGGGGGAGCAGACATGATGCGTCTCTAGTCATGGTTCACTTAGATACGGGGTAGTTATCCGATCACGGAGCATCTTTCAGCCATACAGCGGATAAGAATGATCTCTTCAGCTTCATACCCAAGTCCTATCACGTACAATCAACAAGGTATTCCCAGACAAAACGCCAATCATCCATCCTATTGCGGCCTCATCCCATAATCAGCCTCAGGATACGTCGGGAGCGACTGTCCCGAAGCATCAACCGTAAACATACTCGGATCGAACCTAAAAACCGGCGAAAGCCCAAAGCTCATATCGTAGTCAAAGAACGTATCCCCATCCATGTCAGTGTACACCTGATTCCCCGGCATCACCATGTCAACATGCTCAACTGCATTATTATACACCGCAGGCTGTACCTGTCCCAGATCCGGCGTCGCAAGCGTAGCAGTCATGCGCTCCAGCCCGCCCGCCATGAGATTCGCAAGATGCCACTTCCCGGCCTTGAGCGACCTAAACTGCCGGACCAGATTCGTCGTGAGGTCGTGGACGCGCTGGCGCTCGATGAGATCGCTGCCGTACTTGACCGCCACTTTTATGAGGAACATACAGGCAAAGGCCGTCATGGAGAGCATGTACGAGGGCATCCCTACGATGCCGACTGCAACGTCTGGGTCGGTTATTATGAGGTCGATGATGGCGGTTGCGGCGTTGACGGCTTGCATGGCGCAGTCGAGGAAATAGTGAGGGATCGGGGCGTCGTTGGAGAGACCCCGGAAGATGTGTGAGTAGAGATGGATCTGGGCGAAGTTGTAGTGAAGAATGGTTCCTTTCCGAGGGAATGAACCAATTTGGGTCCATTGTTCTGCAGGAGGTCAGTATAAGTCGGGGATGAGCGTTGGTGTTAACTTGCCAGGCAATTCTCCCATCCATCGAGTATACCACTCATCCAGCTGCCGTCTGAACTGCAGTATGTGATTCAAGTATACCCTCGGAATCGGCTCCCCCTTATCCGTCCCAAAGAGCTCTCGAATATTTCGCAGAATACTAACCAGCATGACCTGGCCAGTCAACCGCTTGTCCTCCTCTGTCGCGACAGGCGATTTCAAGAACTGCTCCCATCCCTGAATCGACGAATCCTCCTGTACAATCGAAGGCCGTCCATACAGAGTCGCAAGGTGCTGATCACAGATATACAGAATATACCACAACCGCGCACAATCCGCCGCCTCCTGACTCTGCTCCTTAATAGCCTGATTATAGCTATTATGCAAATTACACTCTGCCGCACGTCGAATAGCATATCCTGAAAGCATCCAAGAAAGGTCACTTAGCCAATATGAAGCAACACACATGGCACGAAGATAATCGCGATCAATGCGGCGCTCAAACATTGACTTTTCCATGAGGCGTCGGAACTCTCCACTGCAGATTCCGTAGATGTTGTCGGCTTTTGGGTCGTGGAGTGCAGCTACTGTGAGTGTAGCAGCGGAGAGAATTGGACTTTTACGGCGGAGCTCTTCGAGGGTCATGTACCGACAGCCGATGCCGTACATATACCGATCCAAGCGGTCGCGATACAGAGAAAAGAGACTTTCTGCATCTGCTAGCGACAGCGCACCGCGAGCGATAAAGTCGTTGATGGCGTTTCCCTTCTGAGCTTCAGGGTTATCGGGTGATCGGAGAGCACTGAGTTTAGTGAGAGTGTAAAGTGAGTGAATAGGCACATAAGGAAGGCCCTCATCCTCAGGCGTCGCTTTCGGTGAGTTATCACATGAAGGACCGCGGAATTCTTCTTGTGATACTGAGAGATGATGTGACGTATTTGCATGGTCGTCTTTTGGTGGTGACCCTTCTTCTCGGGAGTTGATGCTTTGTAGGGGTGGCAGTTCAGGGAGGCTGAGTTTGGTCATGACTTGTCTTAGAGCGCTGTGCATTTGCTCTAGATCTTGGACAACTGATTCGGAGAATCTGAGGAGTTGGTTATTATGAGATGACGAGGGTCAAGGGAGTAAGCGTACTGTGACTTTTCATCCATGATGGTTTGAAGACTCTTGCTCAAGACACAGCCTAGATTTCTCTCTGCGCATCTGCGACATGGCGGGCCACTTTCATCCATCAAACATTTGATCTACCGCACAATTAACTCTCACTCTTACTTTGCGGCTTCTCAGTCTCACCTTGTGTTTTCTACATGCTGCACAGGCCTTGATCTTGCGTGAGATCTGAGGAACAGTACCGTCATTGGACACAACTCCCGTGATACTCTGCCGATGAGAAGCGGTTCTTCCATTCCCATTTGGACGAGCCGGCGTCGGGGCCTGTCTTGTCAGCCAATTCTCATAACAACCTGAGACATCAAGACATACCGCCGCATCAGCACTGGTCGCTGCAGCAGAGTCCGACCACGTTCTCTTGGCCATCATGAATCCTTCTGTTTCCGTCTCGAGTCCCTCAATTGACCGTGTCGCGTGAATGAGTCGATCCTCGCGACCAGCCCCTGAACACCTCCAGATCGTCAAGAATGACACGCAGTAACACGAAATCGCTTATCTCTTAGACATACGCTCATCGACATATGCATATCGCAGGGGTCAAATACCCGGGGGAATTGATTGCAGCGATTCGGCAAAAAAGAGATTCAGTTCTTCAGGTTAAAAAGAGTCAGGCAAATGTGCAAGTTAAATGGGGAAATGTCCCCCGACTTGGACTAATTACCTCGGGCCAATTAGAGGAGTGATATTGTGCTGAAGGAAGAGGAGGACCCGTAATTTGCCTCCCCGCAATCGCTGAGAGTGCGGGGTAGCCGAAGTAGGAATTTAGAGGTTGACACTCAACCTGGACTGGCCAAGACTGAGTAATGAGGTTTGAGGGACTCGTCAAGCATCGCAATAATAGTTAGTGTGGCTTAAATATTAGTCTCATTTGATGCGGAAACTGCTATTTGTTATGAATAAGTAAAAACGAAATGTAGATCACTTCCTCATGGCCAATCACCAACATACAGTAGTCTCGGACAGTTCAACCAAGTACCTAGAAAGAGAAAGATCCGATTGAACTAGATTAGTGAAGGAGAAAATCACAAGATCAACATAAATTATGACAGTTGGCAGAAATTAAATTCGGATATTGTCTTGGTTAGAGTCTAACAATAGTCCCCTGTTGCAATAATACTGTGCTTGATGTCGTGTGTAAAAGATAAAGTACACAAAGAACCGCCGTAACGCTGAAGGTTGGCCGTTGAACTCAAGACCGGAGAGTGGATGCAAATTGTCCACTCTAATAAAAAGGCAGACAAGTCGATCATAGCAACGTTTACTCCGTATTAGCTGCCTGATCAGAGCACGCACGTCAGCGACGTCACATCCCCCCACCGCGGGGCGATAACAAAAAAGTCCCAACTTCTCAACACCAAAACCTTCCATCACCAATTCAACTCTCTCTACATTGACCTTCACCTCAAGAATCTCAAAATGCCAGAGAAACTCTCCAAAAACCCGCTCCCGCCGAGCACCTCAACCCTCTCCACAATCTCAACGGCATCAACATCATCCACCGCGCTCCCATCCTCCCTCGCCGATCCCTCCCTTCCTCTCCCCAAGCTCATCGTCTTCGATCTCGACTACACCCTCTGGCCATTCTGGGTCGACACCCACGTAACACCGCCCCTAAAACCCAACTCCTCTCACACAAGCGCCACAGACCGATACGGCGAAGACTATGGTTTCTTCAGCGACGTCCCCGCAATTCTCCACGCTCTACCACGCGCCGGTATAAAAATCGGCGTAGCATCGCGGACTTCTGCACCGAGCCTTGCGCGTGATTTGCTAAAGATGCTGCATATCACTGGGCCAGAGGGTGGAAAGCCAAAGAAAGCGCTAGATGTGTTTGAGGGTTTGCTTGAGATTTATCCAGGGTGTAAGATCAAGCATTTTGAGAGCTTGCAGAAGAGGACGGGGATCAAGTATGAGGATATGCTGTTCTTTGATGATGAGCCGAGGAACAGAGATACGGAGAGTTTGGGGGTGACGATGTGTCTTGTTCGAGATGGGGTTACATGGGGGGAGCTTGAGAGGGGGGTTACGCAGTGGAGGAATCGAAGGGGATATGTTACGAGACCAGAGGTTCCAGAGATGGAATAGACGTCAAACCCCCATACGGTAGGTTGGACTTTGATAGAGGCACAGGGCATAGACGACCAAGGATTTGAGGATAGAATAAAGAAGTCAATTGTTCAATATTAACAGGGAATCACGATTATATATTCACAACCATATCACCGCTTCAACGGGAGGTTCTAAACATGATACGCCAAACAGAAAGGGATATGTTCCGTGCACTTCAACAAATACAGTCAGCCCATCTCGTACTTCAAATCATCTCATCCAAAATTTGCTTCCAGGGTATGCCAGTCTTCGCCATCTCTAGGATATAACACTTCTATCACGCAGTAGCCGTCTGTGTCGTGACAGGCTTATCGTCCTGCAGCTTCAGCTTCTCGTTCACATCGCCGCTCAAAAGAGCATCATCGGTTTGAACACCATCATCATGTGTTCCTTGAGGAGATACGGGGTGGCCGTTTCCGTTGAGGGCGGCTGCGTCGTTGGTTTCCGCTGGTGTTTCGACGGCTGTTTCACCGCTTGAGATTTCTACCACGGGAGCGAGACCGAAAGTCTTGGGAATTGTGCAGATTCTCTCGTTTCGAGGTTGGCCGTCCTTGGAACCCTTAGCCATACAGACCAGTCTTCCATTGGTGTCCTCCTCCCACAATAACGGTCCGCTAGGGAACGTCTTGTGTCCATTCTCAAACTCGACGACACCCTCCCAGTTAGGATCGGGGTTACCGAGTTCTCCAAATTTGTAGTCAAGCTCACCACCATACTTCTTAGGAATGTTTCGTGGCTCAATGTACTGCTCAAGCACACTCTTCACCTCATGGTGACCGAGGATGAAAATCTTGGACACAGTAATAGGATCGAACCAGCGCTTGATCCAACCCCAAACGGTACTGAAAAACGCCGGCGCACCAATCACGAATATGCGATCCAGCGTCTCGGGGTAATGTGCAGTAGCTAATTGTGAAGCAGCCTGCATATGCTGCTTAAGATTCCAGAACTGCTTCAACCCGACGCCCGAAATATCCACAATGTTTGTGCTCAATGTGATAGGAACCTCGGGGTGCTCGCGGTCGAGGAGTTGTGTGCAGAAAGGCATGTTGAAGCGTGTCAAGTTCTCGTACAGAGCGAATAAGCGCAGCAGGCCGTTTGGCGTCTTGCCGTCGGACTTGGCTTTGGAAAAGGTACTCGATGCGCCGACCTTTTCATACTCGTGGACGGTCTTGGAGTCGAGGGTCTTGACTTCAAAGACATAGAGGGGAATTCCGCGGCGGTCGCGTCGGCCGGTCCATTGGGGGTACTGCAGATACAGAGTCAGCGCTTAACGTTCCCGAGGATTCCGTCAGACAAACCAGGCGACGGCTGAAATCGTAGGCGCTTAGATCAATGGTGTCGTATAAAACGTCCAGATCATTTGCCTTGCGCCAATCTTCTGTCTCTTTGAACTGCTGATACGCATCCTCGACATTCCATCTTCGCGCGCGCAAGTATCGCCTGTGAAGGAAAGCCGTTAAAACCCTGCTTATCAATCGCCCCGTTACAAAACTTACAAGATCAAAGGGTCATCATGAGAAGGCGGAGGTCCAACTTTCAAAAGGCCCCTCTCCTCAAGGACCTTCTTAAACTGGACAAAAGCCTCCTCCTGCTTCTGCGTCAAGTGTCCCAGGTGGCCATAAGGATAAGCATAGTCCGCAATGGTGGAAGCAGTAGAGGTGATGCGAGCGGCTGGAGCGCCGGTAGCTTCGAGAGTAGAGGCCATGGGGGACAAGCGAGATCGGAGGGTTATGATATGATGTGATAACCCGGAGATATGGATTGCTTTCTGGTTTGTGGGTGGTTGTTTTGAGGGGAAGTGAATGGAAGGGAGGGAAGAAAAAAAAGAGACTGCATGAAGGGGAAAATGTGACGGAAGCGCCGGAGTCGCTGACAATGACGACAGTGGAGTTAGATTGGATCTGACAGCGGAGACTGGGGGGGGGGCGATTTGCGAATTTTAGGGCTGTGAGTGGGGATTACAGTTGTCATGGACCTGATGATCCGAAAGCCGGACATGTCGGCCGAGTATGGGAAAGAGAGGAATTCTGGGACAAGAGTTCATAAACATAATAATAATTTAGTCTTGAAGGGAGCGTGGTAGACTGGAAGAGACAGGCGACGTCATCAAGTCGAGTGAATTCAAAAGCAGCATGCAGTCCCATCATGGTCCATCCCGAGAATCTTCAATTTTCCCATGACAGAAACAACGGTTTAAACTGTAATTGAGGCATCATGACTTCAAACCATTAGTGGACCCAGCAGAAACGTCGCTAAAAACAACTCGCGTTGCGGGCGTCATAGTGCGGTACGGGCCGGCCGAGGCTCATGCAACGCGTGTTTATTCTCAACGGTCCCAAAGATTGGCACTTCTCACTCGTATCCGAAACCATTCGGACCTTTTACGATACAAATCTGGGGGATCTACCGCAGGGATTGACGTTGTTTACAAGGCTGAAACAAGCTGCACTTTGATGCTGATGTCGGTAGGACGGTGCCTGTAATGCTCTTCACGTGTTTCACGGAGCATCAAGAATCATGTGGCTTTTGCGGAAACGGGTTTATCGTGTGGATTTTATAGGTTGTTGAATCAGAGGCGGTAGGTGGCACTTTATATGATTGTGTTCGTATAACGTGTTGTGGCTCGATATTTTATCACTGACAACTTTGTATTGTCTGGAAGCATTAACCCCAGGTTCTGATTCAACTGCCTTGCAAAATTACCTCTGAATCACTGCTAATACGAGATCCTTCTCCTTGTAGTGTCCAAAATGCATGTCTTGACATTGCTTCATCGCTCACTTCGAGCATGGCCAGTCCTGTCACGACCCAAAGAACCACTCTCATCAGAATGTCCAAACTTGACTCGGAACATCCTTCTTCACTCACGCCAGTGCCCTCTCAGAACCATATAATAAGGGCCCTCTACCTCTATTCTTGATACCACCGTATTTCTCTCAATCTCGGCTCTCATCATGGACAGCTCGCTAGAACCAGCGCCTATTCAGGCCACACCTGACAACCCTAGGAAGCGCGCCGCCAGCAGATGTCCCTCAATCTCTCCATCAGAGGCCCAGCAGTTGAAGAAAGCTTGCTATGAAATTGGTTATCAGAATCTAAACGACCATGTGAGAATCCCGTCAAGTCGTACAAGACCTCATCATCGACAAAACACCATGCTAGCCTCTTCTTCATGAGCTAACTTGTGTCTTAATAGGTCATGTTTCAACCAGCTCCTATTCGAAGTACTCGTCCATCTGCTGCTCTTTTGGAGTATATAAAGGAGACACTGCCTCGTCCTTCATACCTGGAAAAGATCGGTAACTGGCTCGAAGATATTTATCCTCAAGATCTACGCAAGATATCGCGTTCAGACTGCTTCATCCTAGGCCAAAACTCGGAACCCGTACTCCAAGAAAGATCTCATTCTGCTCCAGCCATTATGGCAGGTAGAAAAAACATCACCGGCCGAGCTGTCACCTTTGACCTGGCGTTTTCTCAGAAATCATCCCTCAAGCGCTCGACACCCGGATTCACCTCTAAAGAAGGGGGGCCGTCTATTGACCCAACACCGACTATTTACCCAACTGCCACTGGCACAGCTAATCGATCTAACGGGCCACTTGTAGAGAGTGCCCTCTACCGGGATTGCCATCTTGCACTCAACAATATCCTCTTACTAGACTCCCGAACTGAACTCCCGCCTCATCTCTCCGCACTTGTCGAATCCCTCAAGAAAGGTCGATCATCCCCTGAGCCTGTCCCCCAGGACAACGATGATCTTTATGCCATGGAGGCAGGGGCAAGTGAACCAAAGGTTGAAGAATTTGTTCGAAACAACGTCATCCCCCCGAGTTCCAGCACAGACAAGATCCAGCGCAGCGATCGTGTCTTTGTACGTAGGTCCGTTATTCCCATCACCAACCCCTACGCGAGAATCAGTGTCCCTGTTCCCGATCTCCTATACGGGTACCGCTTCTCAGCCTTCAAACATGGCCAGCAAATCCAGATCGCGACATGTGGAAACTTTGCATTCGCAAACAGCGAAGGCCTCACCTTTCCCTTCTTTACAGTCGAGTTCAAAGGCGATGGACCATCCAGCAAAGGTAGTCTCTAGGTGGCGACGAACCAATGCCTGGGAGCGTCCACAGCCTGCATACACATCAGTGAGAGGTTGAAAGAACGGCTTGAGAAGTGTACGGACATTGAAGACATCGAGACGCTTGACAACACGAGCTTTAGTGTTGCCATGAACGGAACTGAAGCTCGATTGCATGTCTCTTGGAAGGATGGAGACTTCATATATATGCAAAAGATCAAGACCTTCATTCTCCAGCGACCGGAAGAGTTCCTCGAGTTTCGGAGGTTCGTCCGGAATATAATCGATTGGGGGCGGGATGAACGGTTGGAGGGCATAAAGTCCGGTCTTGATGTTTTGGTTGAGGCGGGCGAAATGGCGCCCCTGCAGAACAAGCTTTCTCGTCCCAGGTCCAAGTCTGGGGGTAGCTCAATTCGACTAAAGCCATACTAGATCACCTCAACGGAAGTTCAGCCATGTATAGAGACGATTGGGGGAGCTATGGTTCGTGGCTTTGGGATCTACTATGGTCAAGAGGGGGCCGGCGTTGAACAGTCGTCGTTACCGCCAAATCATCGCATGAGATTGGAAGATAGAGATGCTACTGAGTGTTTTGTTATCCGGCGCTGTTTCGGGCCATTTTGAAGCCTGTATTGGAATTTGCGAGGTTCGAAGCTGTTGTTGGGGCGTTTTGCTATGGTTGGAACGACACGAATCCAGTTTCTAGGAAGTGTAGGTAATTGCAACGAAGTTTCTCAGAATTGGTTCAAAATTCCATTGTTTCTACGTAGGTAGGATCCAATATTTATATGCACTCGTGACGCTCGCTTTCGTGGCTTCATCTACCATCCAAGAGAATGAAGCACTTGAGTGTGACGGCACTGAATGAGGAGTGCATTGTAAAACAAATGGCTTGGCTTGCTGTTAATCTATCATCGATTCTCCTCTTCAGTTATAGAATCTCCTTATCAGCGCCCCTCCATTCATCACCATGACGTGTGTCCTCCATCAATAACGAGGTTGTTCCCCGTCATGTAGCTACTCGCGTTGCTCAACAAGAACAGCGCAGCACCCTTAAACTCCTGCGTCTCCGCCAATCTCCCCATTATAATCTCCCTCTCCCACTCCTCCCGCATACCAGGTACCTCCTCAAAGTTGCTCTGCACCATGGGCGTCATGATATGTCCAGGGCTGATACAATTGACGCGAATGCCGCCTGTGCCATCTTTCTGGATAGGACTCCATTCCATAGCAAGGTTGCGCGCAAGTTGGATAACAGCCGCCTTACTGGAATTATACACGGGCGAAACAAGACCGCGGTTTGCTTTGAGCCCGGAAATACTGGCGATGAGACAAATGCTCCCGCGGTTCTTGTACTTCATCATTTGCTTGGCGGCGGATTTGGCGGTCATGAAAACGCCGGTGTAGTTGATGGAGAGCATGTGTGCTACTTCATCTGCGTTGTAATTCACGGTGGGCGAGATGTGCTGTACACCTGCTGCGGCTATCACGCCGTGGAGGCCTTGGTTCTCCTCTGCGATGGCGGTGATGAGTTTATCGAGGCCTTCGACGTCTGATACGTCTTGTTTGCGGTAGTGTAGAGATCCGCCCCATTCTGGGACAACGCGTGCTTGAGCTTCATGCCATCCTTCATCAGGCTGATTAGCACGATCCAAACAATACACTGGACTTGAGTTAGTTGTTGTTCGAGTCAATTATGTGGTTGACATACCTTTTCCACCAGCCTCAACAAGACTCTCAGCTAGAGTCAATCCAAGACCTTGAGCACCACCTGTGACGATAAAGACTTTCCCAGCGAGTTCAAAGTCTGAGAAACGCTTGCGACCGACATTTGTTCCTCGTGGTAAGGTGAGTTCATAAGCAGGATTCTCTCTTGGGTCTGGGTTCATTGTTTTTGCACTGTCATTTTCTGTGGTGTGCATAGATCGTTGACAAATTGACTTGGAGATAAAAGGTGTTTTCTGAAGAGCAGCTATCCGTCCATGGGGGTATGTCTTGCTAGCGATTGAGCAAGTTGCTCGCCTGAGTATTGAAGCAGACATATTGGGAAGGCTATTGTTTCTGTAAGATGGAGATCAATTGACAAAGACGTCAAGATTTGATCGACATCGTGAAATTTTGTACTCATTCATCTCAATATTTATATCTTTCTGTCTCAAATCGTGCTACCAACACTGAAGATTTCTTTTGCTGAATCTGACGTCTCGGCGACGTAAGCATTACCCAGCTCGTCTCACCAAAACCTCCCAACACACGACGACACGGAGCTTCTGAGCCTTGAGAATGCCCTCTAGCATATGGGGCAGGGATCCATAGAATCTCTTTTCCAGTGTGACCGGAGCTTCATGTCCGCCTGTCGGATCGTTCCATCTCAATTGCTTGTCTGATCACGTTACCAGCTTATCTCCTTGGCGAGAGGGCAATTGACGTCCTGAATGCATCATATCCCAAGGGGTCCAGTTTTCAGAATAGGTATGAAACAGAGATCAAAAGGCGAAAAGTCGTCGTGACAGCTGTGGCTGTGGCTGTGAGCGGTACCTGAATTATTCCCTGCCATGCCCGTTTGATGGGGTGTGAAGCTGACATGCGTGGCTAATGGGCATCTCGTGGGTGATGCAATTGTTGCGCATGGGGGAATCCTTTGATCGGCGAGGGTATCGGAACTCATGCTCCGTAGTATCTAACCCATGATTAATATCAGCTCGTAGAACTGTTTATGTATTATATCGCAGAGGCTCCAATGCTCGGGAAAATCTAAATGGATCATTACGTATGAGGCTCATGGCAAAACAGTGATTAACACCATTCTGCTTCGATTGGCTACCGTCACAACCTCTTTCAAATCATTGACTTTATAGGGAGCTATTACCGATGCGCAATGAAGCATCATACCCAATCTTCCACAGTTCCACACTTATACACCTCACATAGGTACCGATATGGCTTCCCCCCAGGCGTTTCATCGGTGTTATGACTTGGTACCCTGGGCCGCCAGGCGACAACACTGAGAGTATTCACCATTCGCCAATCCGTAGCTATACCTCGCAAAAATGGAAATCACCGGCAAAAACATACAACAGTGAGGATTCCCCAGTCGTCACCGACCTGAGTACTAATTCACCGCTTCTCGGCTTGACGATGGGAGAGCAGACGGGATCCCGTATTCCCCAAGAGCTATGGTCGTATGTGACAGCAGCTCGCAGTAGCTGCATGATCAAGGCGATTCTTTTCATTGTTTCCTTTGGGAGTCAGCTTACAGCAGCAGCAGGTCGAAAGCATTACGAACCTTACCTTTCCTCAGCGGCAGCCGCATCTGCCGCCGAAGGATCTCCATCGCCCGGGGCAGACTTGGCTTTCTTAGCCTCTCGTTGCCTTAGAAGCTTTTTTTTCCTCTCTTGAGCTTCTTGTTTCTGATCGATAGCACCAGAGATGTTCCAAGTGAGACTATCCGCATGACGGCAACTATGGCCATGCTTGAACTCGGCGAACATGCAAAGGAGGATGTGAACGTGGAGTAGGATGAGGTTGTTGGCCCCCTTTATGTCGTTCTTGATACCATTATTCTCGTTGATGACCTCGATTCGAGCGCCCAAGGTTGCTTCGACTATGGTTCTGACGTGATCGGGATCAATAGGTCTTGCCCAAGATTTCTCGAGACTGCTAGCAATGCGCTTGTAGTATTGAACCTGCCTTTCCTCGCATCCGCATGGTGACGCCAAGGGATTGTGTATGGTGCAGATGGTGAGGCAGTGGAAGTGGTCGTCGCATTCGGTCAAGAACTCGCAGATGTTGTCTTCTACCTTCGCTTTGGTCATTTTTGGTGGTGGATCTGAGCCACCAAAGACTTCTGCACAGCTTCTTGATAACAAGACTGGTGTGGTTGCTGAGGGGAATGATAGCCCGGGAGTTCTGGCGAGAAGCTCATAGGGCATCCCGCGTTTGAGAGTTGCCATTTGGTAAATTACTCGTGCTTATGTTCTCTAACAATAAAGTGAAAACGTGAAGACGTGAAACAGTGAAGACGGAAAGAAGTGAAGAACATGTAGCTATCTCTGTAGCTTTGGTCAATATTGGGAGTGTAAAGGTGAAGTGACCTGGTGAAGGTATCGTGGTGGAGAAGAAGTCAGGGCCTTTAACAAGTGTCTCTTTCCCAACATATCCTGACGGTATGGCTAAGGCGTCGTAATATGGGCTTATAGAAAGAGGGAAATAATACAAAAAGTTGAGTTGAGTTCAATATGCCTCCTGCCATCTCCAGTAGTGTCGTTGCAGCCTCCGACTCTTGCGAGTGATGGGTGGTCTGCAGAAACAACGTTTGGCAAAGCATCACAACGTGACTGTGTGAGGGGATCTCGACCCATACAAGCCTCGCAGCCAACAACTTTGTTTGCAGATATTTGGTCCTTGCGGAGGCATGCTTGTTGGTATTGACAATGAGTGACGAATGAAGCTGTCGTTTGAGAGCGATCGGGAACATCAAACGCAACATGGAGACGATGGAGCATGGAAGATACAACTTGAATATGCGCTCACAGCGCTTCAAGACTTGCCATGAGCTTAGGGTTGTCTCATTAACTGCGAGATAAAACCTCAGACCATCTGGAGATAAAACAGAGTACAGGGTCTCTTCACCACGGCACATTATCTTCAAGGTTTCAAATGAAGCATAATAGCTTTTTGAGATGTGAATATAGACCAATCAACTTAAAGATGCTCTGGTATATCATTTGAGAGATAACTATTGACTAGAAGATACTTCTAGAACCAAGATTGGCTGTCTCAATCATTCCCCTCTTGAATGAGGTATTCTGACACAGGATGGTTTCGAAGCCATAGTTCATGGCCTGCTATGCTTGTACCCAGACGTGCCCTCCACAAAACTTGGGCAGTTTCCTACAATGGATAGTGATATCTTTCTTATGGGGTATCGTATTTGAGTTTGTTAAAAGTCAAAAAAAGTTCTTTAATTCCGGGTGTGCTGAAGCCTTGCCAATAAGCATCGAGAAATGGTGCAGGGTAACTCCTCTATCTTTGAAGTAAAACGTGGAAACGAGTTAATATTCAACAGCGAAACCACATTAAATCCTCAGACGGCCTAAATACGTAGAGAAAACTCACGATATCTCCCGAAATTACCCCTTTACCCTATGGAGTTCTTAGATATCTGAACGATGTCGTCGTGAAGTCCATCGAGAAGATATTAGCCGCTCCCAAGTCGATTCAAGCGCCACCCACCAATTGGAAATGTCCAGCTCCCATTGGCTGAGACGTAGGTTGCGCGGTTCAGCTATGCAGGGGCTTGGGCCTTGGTAAAAGCTGGCATCAGGCGATGACGAAAGTCAAAGCTCGAAGGTCAGCTTATTGAAGCTCTTTGTTCGATTGATGATGAGAATTGAATGAGATATCGCTTCGTACATTAGATGATGTCGCTGCAAAAAGCACTAGAGATAGCTCACAATGTGGCACGAGTTCGTAGGTAGAAAACCATGCTGTGGCGGTTTGTATTCCAGGAAAGTTCTTCGACTAGTGGCATCTTCACGTGCTTTCGATCAACTTAATTGTCGTCATCGAAGCCATCACCACCTCTAGATAAGCTTGGACAAGCGTTTCAGTTGGTGTCGTGTACAACCAATGGATACAATAAAGGACCAACCCATCAAACATGGTCTAAGAACTCAGTACGACCTCTACGAAACCACAATCAATATTAATTTCCTCATCTTCACAGTCTCAGACAAACTCCCTTACCAGCCTCTTTGTCCTTCCCCCCACCTTGAGCTCCCTCCCGCCGGGTCCTAGATAGCGCCCAGCCCCCGGTCATTTCTCCCCCTCTCAAAAGATAGGCAGCCGTTTTAGCGCCTCAGCTGCTGAACCGCGCTGGAAACCGATCGCTGAAACCTGTCCTGAGCCCTGGAGCTTGGGGCACCTCAAATCCAAAGCGGGGGCGGGCTCCGTCACTGCCACAGTCCATTCCATCACTCTCTCCCCTGCCTTGATTCTTACCCACTTCCAAAAGCCAAAGCCCACAACTTGTCTTCTCTTCCTTACGACATCGTCATTCATCAGCAGCATCCTCGACTCTCAATAACAGCATCAGCGCGTCCTCAACGACCATCTCTCACGCTCTTTCACTTGTAATTATACTAGATCGCATCATTTCTCGACTCTCTTACTCCTAGACGCAATGGCTCCCCCGCCGAACCCCAATCTTCCTCTCCAGGAGAGGCTTCTGGCCCTTGCCAAGACCCTCCAGTGTACGTGGTATCTTGAGATGCGACCTTGCGCGCAGACATTGTAATGAAATCGCATTGCTAATTTGGAGTCTCTTGTAGTCGGTTGGTTTGTCGGGTACGTCTTGTCATGATCTCTACCTTTGTCCCGCTCTGCCTCGGTGCGACGAAATGGCCACGATAGCTGTTTTGGGCCTTCAGCCTCCCTCTTTCGAGCTCTCATGGCCAACAAATAGCCAAATCTGTGACTGACAAAGCTCTCTTGACTATAGACACCTTACCCTGATCCTTACGACGGGCCGATATTTCTTGTCCTGGATTCGAATGAACTACTACACCCGCATGGCCCAGCTGTCCTACCGTACTGCCTTTATCGCTGCCGCTGTCACCTATGGCATTGTCGTCTACAAGACCATGCGCGCTCGCGCAAAGACTGGCGCCCGAGCTGCTCCTACCCCCATGGCTCTCCTTGCTGATGAGAACATCCAGTATCTTGGTAAGAGCTTCTGAAGGATATCTTGCTAGATCTGCGCAACCTTGCTGACTTCAAAAAGCCATGGCCCTTGTGTGGCTCTTCTCTCCCCAGTACCCCCTCGCCTTGATCCCTTACACGATCTACTCGGTCTTCCACGTTGCCACCTACACCCGCGCCAACCTCATCCCCGTTGTCCTTGCGCCCAAGCCTGCGCCCGAGGCTGCTGATGGTGCTTCTCCTAGCCGCCAAGCTGCCAACAGCCCTCTTGCTAACCAGATCGGCGCTTTCGTCAAGGAGTACTACGATGCTTCTATGGCTATCGTCTCCTACCTCGAGATGGCTCTCTGGGGACGTATTCTCCTCTCCGCTATTCTCTTCCAGCGCCGATCTTGGATCCTCATTGTTCTGTACACTGCTTTCCTCCGAGCTCGTTACAGCCAGAGCACTCATGTTCAGACCTCTTTCCGCCAGCTCGGTGCTCGTGTCGACTCCCTCGTCAGTGCTCAGGGTACTCCCCCTGCCGCCCGACAGGTCTGGCAAGGTGTCAAGGAGGCCGGCAAGCAGTTCCACGACGCTACTGACGTCAGCAAGTACATTAGCGGCCCTGCTAAGAAGACCTCATAAACTCGACACGACGATACGCAGCTTCGTGTCGCTCTGACTTGATTATACTGAACGGATATGAATCGAGGCAAAGCGGAACCTGATAAGATAGAAACGCCATGACGCTACGATTGGACTAGCTGCTTTGCAGTTAACGCGACGACGATTTCAGACTGGACAAAGAATATGAGTGTAACGGGTACAACCGCACAGCCATAGGAACGTGGAAAAGAGGCTTGGCCTCGTGACTGTATTTTTTATTCCTATACTTGGAGAACTTTTCTGGCGACTGTTCTCATGCGCACGCGGTGATAGCTTTGTGGTCCGAGCATATCGACTTGGTGCACAAGGTATTAGAGGCGAGGAGGAAATGGAAGTGGCCATGGGAATGATGAGGAAGTTAACGAAGGAGACTGGATGGATGGATGGGTATGGATTTCCTGGTGTTAGCTTTATTGTATTCGAATTTCCGGTTTGATCATGATTTGTGCCATTGTTGCAGTGATAAGAAGCATGACAAACTGTTCATTGCTCTAGAATAGTTTCTGGTGTCCTGTAATTGGCATTTCCGAGGAAGACATGGTTGTGAACTTGGCATCGAAACATGACGCATTCTCGGAGAAGAAGCCATTGAGTATATTCGATGGCAGAAGTTCTAGCTTGGTCGCAATTATAGTGTTCGACGAAAGATGGTGCTTCTATCTAGCTGCATTCTCTGTATCTCATCGCTGTGCATTCTTCATGTGCTGTCAATGATATCAAGGCCTGATAAAGGTCAGGTCCCTTGGTGGGGCGCAAGGGATGACGTCGCCAGGCTTGTTACGTATCGATCTTTTGACCAGGCGACCTCAGCCTGTTCTGTTCATCTCAAACCCATCGCCTCCTTCAACAGCTTTCCAGCCGAATTCAACTGTAGTTGGTCGTTTTGAACGCTATTAAGACACCTCTACAACTTTACGACCGCTGCTGGTGATGGCTTCGATCTTGCGACAGATTGTCGCGGGGCCGCGAGCTCGGCACCCTGAGGCTGGCTTGGATTTGTGCTATGTTACAGACCATATCATTGCGACGTAAGTCTATTCATTGGGAAGGTTTTATCGTAGGGGTGGTGTCGCAGTCGCTCCATATGAAGTCACCTCGATTTCTAGCAACTGTGCTAACACCTAGCCTTTTAGATCTGGTCCTTCAGAAACATATCCCCAACTCGCATACCGAAACCCTCTCGACCAACTCGTCAAATTCCTCGATTCGAAACACGGTGAAGATTGGGCTATATGGGAGTTTCGCGCCGAAGGAACAGGCTATCCTGATGAATCTGTATATGGTCGCGTGAGGCATTACCCATGGCCTGATCACCACCCACCTCCATTCAGACTCGTGCCCATGATCATGGCCAGTATGCGCAATTGGCTACATGGCGGGGAACTAGGCGGTGGTGTAGTCGCGGGAGACGGAAGACCCATGTCTTCTGGTAAAGATGCCGTGACCGAGGCACAAAGGAAAGAGAAGCGCGATAAGAGAGTGGTGGTGGTTCATTGCAAAGCTGGCAAGGGACGAAGTGGTACAGTGAGCTGCAGTTATCTCATCGCAGAGGAGGGCTGGAAACCCGAAGATGCCCTTGCGCGCTTCACGGAACGACGAATGCGACCGCGATTTGGCGCTGGTGTATCGATCCCTTCACAATTGCGCTGGATCAGCTACGTTGAACGCTGGACAAAAGGCGGCAAGAAATACACCGACCGGCCCATCGAGATTCCTGAGATCCACGTCTGGGGTTTGCGTAACGGCGTCAAGGTTGACATCGAGGGTTTTGCAGATGAGGGCAAGAAGATCGATGTCTTTCACACATTCAAAAAAGAAGAGCGCGTGGTTGTTGATCCCGAAGCACCTGAGGAGAGTGGTATCAGCGATATGATATGGGAAATGGCCGGCTACTCGGTCACCAAGCAGAAGGAGAAAGCTCCCGATGAAGCTCACTTTTCTGGGGCAACAAACCCAGGTGAAACGCCACCATCAGCAACTGAGGAGAAGGAGCATATTGGCAAGGCGAAGACTATTAAACGAAAGGGCACAGAGATGCTTCACAAGGTCTCTCCCGCAGGTTCTCATAAGGGCGTTGAGAGAACCAAGAATGACTCTGCTACATCGTCAAAGACCGACGTTACAGAAGCAAACTCGGAGGAAGAACCAGGCGGCATGGCGGTTATTCTAAGACCCAAGGCCCCCATCCGCATTCCCAACAGCGATGTCAACATCTCAGTCGAGCGTCGGAACAAGACCCCCAAGAGCATGGGTCTAACCATGGTAACAGCCGTCGCACACGTATGGTTCAACACGTTCTTCGAAGGCCAAGGTCCCGAACGAGACGGCAAGGCCCTCGATAGCGGCGTCTTCAGCATCGAATGGGACGCCATGGACGGGATCAAAGGATCCAGCCGCAAGGGTTCACGGGCGTTTGATCGAATTGCTGTAGTATGGCGCGTCGCCGGCACAGACGCTCTACCTGAAGAAGTCCTCGAGCCAGAAGAGGGACAGCCCGTGCCGCAGGTCCGACCGGCGGATTGGAAGGGTGCGAATATGGAGGATCCGGATAACCAGAAAGATCTGGGTCTTAGGGTTCAGAGTCCTGCGAGTGCGGATGTTAGTAAGGCGAGTAGTGTTAAGAGTGCTGAGGAGACAGTTGCGAACAACGATGAGGGGGGGCTGGACGGCGTTAAGTCGAGTGGACCGTCGGGAGAAGATTTGTTGATTGGGGATCATGGGGAGGTCAAGGGGGAGAAGAAGGCTTAGTTGATGATATCCATGTATATGACTGTATGGACGATTAGATGTATGACCATGAGTGTGAATAGAGTATTATGCTACCATGGCAATAAGAATGGGTATCTCGAATAGAAAGTGTCCTTGTGTATCACTAGACTCAGTAGTGTCTACCCCTTCCTCTGTAATGCCTATCCCCTCGATAACCCCCATACGGCCCTCCCCTTCTATGATTCCCCCTCTCTCTATGCCCATGATATCCTCCCCTGTCCTCCCTCGGCGGCGGAGGCACCGGCTCTTCGACCTCGACTTCATACTCTTCGAACTCTTCCTTAAAGAATCCTTCAGTAATCTCCCTTTCTCTCAACGCAGCCTCTGGCTCAAACACAAAACGCAGCGTCCCCTCTGGCCCCTTCACCGTTCGTTTTCCATCGCCCGGCCATGATGTTGATGTCGCGGGCGATGTCGCTGATGCAGGTGTAGAAGGTTGGGGGTCTTCAGCTTCGCACCGGGAGCAGAAGTACAGATATCGAGGTTCGAACGCCTTGTCAAGATCGTTGTTAAGCCGAATCTTGATGTCGATGATCTTATTCTGATCAAACTGTGCCCCGACCTTTGTCGATTTCCCATGCTGGACGTATAGATCTAGTATATCAAGCATAGTCTCCATAACAGAACCCCAGTGGTACTGACGCTTTGTCTTGGCGTACTCTTGAACTCTGTCCACGTGCTGTTCTGTCATGAGGGCTGTGAGCTCCACGACTGCCATGACCATGGAGAATGTTGTGCGCTTGATGGGGACAAAGGTCTTGTAGATGTCGATGCACATTGCGTATGCGGTCTCAAAGAAGGGTTTTCCATCCTCTTTGCCAAAAATGTCGCGGACGACTTTCACGAGGAGTTTTTGGGGGTAGCGTGTGCGGAAGTCGAAGCCGATTGTTTCGAGGATGAGACGTTCGAGGCAGATGATGATTTTGCCTGGGTTCTCGAACACCTAAGAGGGTTAGGATGGGGTTTGTGATTGCTGTTTGTTGGACTTGCCTTGTCATCGGGCGTGACAGATTTCTCGGGGTTCTTCACGTTATATGCAGCCGCGAGAATCTCCTTTGACTTCTTGATAGTATCTTCCACCTTACACGCGACAAACAGCGATGCTAGTGCAGCGTCTTGATAGTTGTACTCGACGTCTCTAAAGTTGAGTCGGAATTTGTGGAAATACGTGCACGCCGTATCGAACGTCCTCACCGGTCTGTTGTTTGGTCAGTCTCTAATCCACACGTACTCCCATACAAGACCCGACGTACAGTTGTAGATATTCTCTCACATTCTCAATCAGCTGCACACCTTGAAGACGGTAGTTGTCCTGTCTTGCGGGATCGCAGCCATGGTCCTTGAGCATACGTCGCAGCTTGAGCTCTGATGTGTATTGGTTCGAGCTGGAGATGGTGCCCGGATGGGGTCCGATCTTGGGTATCGCGTCGCCGTTTGTGGCCGCGGACGGGCCATTATTTGAGGTTGTCATTGGAGCGGTAGGGATGATAGTATGATTGTGGTCGCAAGTTTGCGGTTCTTTGTTCAGTGTCAGAATAGAATGGTCGATCAATTGAAACAAGTGGGCCTCGTCGCCGGGCGCTGTGCACACAAGCTTTGCCGGCTTCAATTACGGATGCTCAGTATGAATTAGGGATATGAAAGTGGCAGAAATCTTTCGACAGTTATGGCGATGATGTCTGTGGTCGCGTAGAGTCAAAGTTACTTCAGTTGTCATGATGCAAAACAATTGCGATGTGGCTGAAGCTGAGGACTGTGGCGCAGTTAATTACAAGTCTCAGATACTCCCGTCCGTACTCTCGACAATAAACAGTTCGTTTAGCACGATACGATCATTAATAAAACGAGAGGTTAATGTAAGTAAGTGTTGTAAATACTGGTAGCACTTCTACAGAACTGCCGTGACTTTCTTGATTATGGAGTTCAGGACTTACTTACAATCAACGTCCCAGTTTGTTTCTGAACCAACCTAGAGTTGAGCTATTGCCAAAGATGTCTCTCTAAAAGGTCGGTCTTACCAGGAACTGAGACGATTTCAGCGCAGTTGCTTACATCACAAGTCGAGACTTCTGCCTTGTCATCGGAATCTTTGCATTTTGCACGTTCAAGTTCACAACGAACGAGGCAAGGCAGGGGTATAACAGTCTGTTGAATAACTATAATGATAAAACTAATGATTAACTCAAATCAACTCCAACCTGTCCCCAGAG